ATAGACTGTTGGAGCAAGTGCTAAACAGTAGCAAATGCCTATGAAGATCGACACGGCACGTGATGGGATAGTGTGGCCAGCAACACACCTCACCGTCTTTGTCTCCCCAGTGCTGATGTTTACCCAGGATACTTTTTTTAAGGCCAAGTTGACCTGCAGGGGAGTCCCAGGACCGGTTCAGATATTTAGTTGTTAGCCACGAACGGGAATCGAACTCGGGTGGCCAGGTTCGTAGCGCAGTGCACTAACCGCTGACACACACCACTGTCAGTTCAAGGGCTTTGGTTCCACATCAGAAAGCTCCCTTCCTCCTTCCTTGTATTCCGTGAAGTCTTTCAGAGTTGTTCAGCTGCCCAATGCATAGCAGTCCACGCTCAAGGCCTGCAAAGCACAAAATGCAGTGGAAGGCAATGAAAGTGCGCCACAGAGTGGGTTCAAATATAATTAAATAATCAAACAAAGAAACATTAAATTGATTTGACATTTCAAAATAACAAGCCCGCAACTTTTTACAATTGCCACATATTATTTACAAGTGGCACTGTGGCTCCCCAAAATCGTAGAGAGTAAGAGCACCCATATTGCATGCATAGTTTCGGAAAGTCAAAAGGATGTGTGCTTGTCACATGCTCCGGCGATACCAGGCTACATAGCGACCAAAAAATTATTGTAGCCCACGCCCGCCAACTGCCGAGACTGTATCTTCAACCCCAAATTCTGCATCGGAGACAAAGCAGGCAGCAGAACGGCTGAGATTTGAACATTTTTTTTGCTGTGAGTGGCAGAGGGAAAATTACGTCCTTGAATGTTTAAGTGGCCGGATGGCTCTGAAGGATAAAGTTCCGACACTACCGCCACCGCCGTTGCTGCCGCTGCCACGCTTCCTCACGTGGTTTGGTTGAGGAGGAGGGTCGTGATGATGGCACAACGAGGAGCTAGTGGGAGACACCGCACCGTGGATATTCTTGACATTATACGAAGGATCTACATCATGGGACCTCCTTTGCCAGTACCAAAAAGCGCCTTTTGGCCAAAAGGCGCCTTTTGGCGTCTGCTGGTCTCACACCGTTTGAGACGAGGCTCAATAGAAAGCTGTCTCTGGTGTGGGCAATTAAGTTTCAAAGACAATGCATATATTATCAGTGTTTTTTGTTTGCATTTTGACAAGTATTCTGGTTAATGCAGACGTGATTCCTTGTAAAAGGTTTTAGTTTGGTGTTTTAACAACTTAACACCTGTTTTGTTGCCAGATAAAAAGGGGAAAACCTATTATCATTATTTGAAGGATGATTGCGGGTTTTATATTTCAGCGGCCTCAACTAAACGACTCGTTCGCTCGTCAACTAAACGACTCGTTTAGTTGACGAGCGATCTTGCATCACAGTGAATGTCGGCCACAATTGGAGCACAAGCCACGTGTTCTCGTTGTCGTTTCCAGTTGTGCAAAAAAACCCTAATTGTCAGTTTAACACGTAGGCTTTCGCAACCAATATCATCCATCATATTCGTTTTCTTGATTAGTTCGCGTAAATATAAATGTGTCGTTAAACCCACCACCACCCGACACAGCTAATTAGTAAGGGGTTTATATTCTTAGCTCTTTCGGTAAAGTCACGTTGAAGGGAAACAATAAAATAATAAAATATATAAGGGGTTTGTTACGTAAACAGAACGTGCCAATTCGTCACTAGTACAACACTAGTGTGTAGTGTAGTGTATAGTGTAGTGTACTAGTACAGCACACCGGTGTGTTGGAGAACCAAGCCACAACATTTACAATCTGAGTACGACGTTTCGCCAGTAATTACAACTAGCTTCATCAGGTGACATTTAGATTTGTGGATAAATCCTCCTGTTTCATTCCTTAAATAGAGGGATACTTGTGATGGCGTTACTTGTGAGCCCTTCACGTGCGAAGGGGGGGAGGCATTAATGAATGCATATAAATTGCAATGGGTATCCATTGCCGGTTGGGTTATTCATATGGCAATCAACGTAAATTATACATACATTTGACATTTGACATGTTCTGTTTACGTGACAAACCTTACTAATTGGCTGTGTCGGGTGGTGGCAGTTTAATGACACATTTATATATTCATGGGATCTAACCCAAAAAAACTCTATTATGAATCCTAATTGTGTTACGTTAAGCAGATGATGCTAATATTCGTGACATATGTTTTTTTAGTTCACTTGCCCTGCCCTCATCGTTAAGGCTATCAAGGATTGCTCCATTGATGGTTTGCGTTGAATTAAGTGACCAACGGTCCTTGCTATATGCACAAAATGTAATGTTCACAACAACGAAACTAAGCGTACGACAAATGGGATTGGGGGCTAGCCTCCAGTGCTGGGATAGCAGCATCCGCTGCAGGAGCCGGTGCCAGTGCCGGTTTGGTTTGGTAGTTGGGTAGCTGGTGTTGGACTCGGTGTCCCACTCGTGATCGCGGCGATGGTTGTGGAGGAAGTCCTAGTGGGGGGTCCTGTGCCTGGCATCGGTAGCGACCGTACGACGTCCGTACCGGCGTTTACGTCGTACGCTCCATATCCAGCGAGCGTGAACGAGGCTGGGGTTGCATTGCACGGCTGCCTGTGTGGCCCAGCACCAGACTCCGTGTGCTCGTGTGGTTTCCGTAGTGCAGTGGTTATCGCAGTCACCTAACAAGCGACGACGGTCCCCTGTTCAAAACCGGGCAGAAATGTAGAATCCTACGGGAGTGGGAGTGTAGAGGTTAATGCTCTGCAATACAAACCCTGAGTTCGATTCCCAACATCAGTGGCTTACAACTATCATTCCTGGGCTTCCCATAGGTCGACTCACCCTTAATTGAGTAGTTGCCGTGATGTGCAAACATCAGCACTCGTGCGCTGTGCCGGGCTTGATCGGTGCTTGCTAATAGGACTTACTTCAAGAGTTTGTGTCGGACACATCGGGATCTTTGTCTTTATCTTTGTTCCACGTACCTTCAGCCGAGTCAACAACAGTCGACCTATTAGGCGAGGTGCTGAGTAGGCCTACCTACATAGGCCAACGGGCATACCTAGCAGGTCAACGAGGCGGCCGTCGTGGTGGTCCCCATCGCCGTTGGCTGGCGTCGCCTTGCCGACGACCTTGCCTCCGTGAAGCGGAGCCGTGCTGGCGTCGTCGGCTGGGCGGTCGATGCCAAGAACGGCGACGTCACCTTGTGCGCTCTGACCTTTACAATGACCTCGGCCAATGTAGCCCGGCCCTATTGAACCCACAGGTCAATGGCCATAGGTCAGCGGGTCATGCACTCTCAGAAGGCCGTTGAGCGCACGTGCATTTTTTCCACGCGGGCCATTCTAGTTTTTGTGTTAATAATGACGACGGTGAAATGAACAATCAACCGTCGTTAATCCACTTGCTGGTTGAACTCTCATCATTCTGCCACCGTCTCTCACGATTCTGCGGTTTAGTCATCCACCCAGCACCTGCTACAGTGAGGGAAAAAAGTATTTGATCCCCTGCTGATTTTGTACGTTTGCCCACTGACAAATAAATGATCAGTCTATAATTTTAATGGTATGTTTATTTGAACAAGCTGAGATTAGGAGTGCTCCTAATCTCAGCTTGTTACCTGTATAAAAGACACCTGGGAGCCAGAAATCTTTCTGATTGAGAGGGGGTCAAATACTTATTTCCCTCATTAAAATGCAAATCAATTTATAACATTTTTGACATGCGTTTTTCTGGATTTTTTTGTTGTTATTCTGTCTCTCACTGTTCAAATAAAACTACCATTAAAATTTAGACTGATCATTTCTTTGTCAGTGGGCAAACGTACACAATCAGCAGGGGATCATATACTTTTTTCCCTCACTGTACGTGGATTATTATGACCACATTCTTTGCTCCATCTCCTGATGACGGACGCTTGTGTTGCGCCCGACATGCCGTGATTTATTTTATTTTATACCTACGTGACTTTACCGAAAGAACCAAAGAGCATGGATTCCTGCAGTCACGAAAGCTTCAAATCAAGATTAAATGCGTGAGTATTTGTCAAGGATGGGAGGCCAAGCAATGCTAAGTACATCGTGGGTGTTGAAGGGCTGCTTGAATAATGATTTGCACTGTAACCTCCGTGTTCATCCTTTTTATTCGTGAATTACTCAACTTTCTGGGAGTAGAGTCCCGAAGTGACTCATCAAGGTTTCCTTTTCAGGAGATGTTCTGGTTTTTTTTGGCATGCGTTCAAATTCTTTGAAAAAATCATGCATGGAGCTGTGATTGTCAACACTGGAGCTCACAAATGATCGCTGATTTTGCCTCCGAGAAAATCCTTAATCAGAATTAACCCCTTGCAGAGGCGTCGGCCCCACAATAACGACGACAACAACAACAACGCTATATTCTTAGTTCTTTCGGTAAAGTCACGTTGAAGGGAAACAACGCTGTTTGGCGATGGGCTTGTGCTTGTTGTGCTGCAGCTGTGTGCTGCAGGTCACAGGCTGTGCACCGCGACACGCAACTCAGCACATCTCCACACAGCTACAACTTCACAGAGCTTAATACAGCTTTAGGCGACTCCACATCACTGCACATAGCTTCACTATAATCTACACTCGCTCTACAAAGCTGCACGCAGCTCCACGTTACTTCACACGGCTCCACATAGCCCCACATCCGACACAGTACACGAGCTGAGCCACCGAGGCAGGGGAGCGCGATGATTTAACGACGAGACGTTTACAAATTTGTTTTGTTTCACACGGTCCCATTCGTGTCGAGACCGCGCCTCGTCGCGGTGTTTGTCATCGCTGGACGCGTGCCTCTCTCGCCCACGCCTCTCGTGTTTAATTCGCAGCCGTCAGCGCTTTGACCGACGGCGTTCGCCGCTCCGCGCGTCGCTTCGCCGTGCGCTCCGCGCTTACGAGCGCCGGAGCGAATCGGCGCCCACGCGCACGACCTCCCCCCCCCCCCTTATTTTTCGCTCACAAACGCCGGCCCTGTTTGCTCTTTGTTTTGCGTGCAGCGTATTACACCTCTCCATCCACCACCATTCAAACCCATGGCACCTCCTGCAGAACTGCACAGCCATACTTCATCCAAGGTAACCCACGGCCGAAGCACCCGCTGTGCACTCCCCGGCCTGCGTGCCCCCCCCTCCCCGCCCCTACCCGCCTCGCCCGGTCACACGGCATGCTCCAAAGCTCCCACGCGTGCTTGTCCGTGCGTGCGTGCATGTGTGCATGTGCGTGTCCAGCATTCGGCCGTGGGTCCCCGTGCTTGTCTGTGTGCTTGAGTTTGTTTATTTTTGTCGTCGTTTGTTATTGTTGCTTTTTGTCGTCGTTTTATTTCATTTGTTTCACCCCCCCCGCCCCCCGCTCGACTCTGGGCAGGTCTCAAAGCCCCTCGCTCGTTTTGTGCCGCAGCGCGCCTTTGAGTCGTCGATGCCGAGTCTCGAATCAAACGGAGTCCGGGCCGTGCTGCGGGACCCCGCGCATGTGCGTAGCGGCGTTGGGCGAGCCACTTTTTACCGCGATTTAAGCGACGCGACGTTCCGCTTTTAACGCCAAGAGCCACGTCTGCGACATCTGCAATCGGCTAAATTGAGTGTTGTGTGGGCAAACTAAGTGGCAGTAAAGTGCAGTAATTGGCTAATCGCGTTGCTGCTGCACAGACGCTGTTAGCGAGCTTGCAAAGAGCGCAGGTTGTGAATGCACGTCAGTTCAACAAACAAAGGCAAATATCTCCCGTATAGCCTTAACAGACTTTGGGGCAAGTGCTGTTCACAAGCACCCTGGCAAGGCACGCGAGGGGGTGGGTGGCCAGCACCACGCCCGACCGTCTTTGTTTCCCCAGTGGGGAGACACTACACACCGCACCAGGTACTCATTTGAGGCTGAGTCGACCTAGGGGAGGCCCAGGACTGGTTCAGATAATCGTCACTGGTGTTGTCGCCAGGTTCGTAGCGCAGTGCGCTAACCACGACTCTACTGCTCCCCACCGTTCAACACACATACACACATGGTGGTGGGATGCAGAACCTAAAGCGCGTCATGCTTTCTTGGGGTCAAGTTCAGTGCCCCAAATCTGGTTCACGGAAATGTTCGAGAACCCCAATTAAAATCCCAGCGTTACATTTTCCCAATGTGCAAGCGTGAGGTGCCGCTCCGTGAAGTAAATGAGCTAATTGCGATGGAGCCGGCATCGTTAATTAATAGGGAATCGTGCAGTGGACGTTCATTTCGGCGTGATTTTAAGTAGCAAGCTGTGTTGGAAGAATGAATTTGTCTAAATTTAAAACGTAAATATGGGTCGGACGAACTTAACCACGTAACAGGGAACGCCGAAAAACAAACAGGGGGTTCGTGAGCGAGGAATTCTCAACGTAGTGGTAACTCAACGGCCGCATTCGCACTCGAACATTTTTTTTTACCCATTTCCAATGTCGATGGCAGCTTTGCGTGCTTCTGAGCCGGGGCAGCTCGTGAACTTAAACCCATGGAACGGGGCAACTTGCACGAGGGTGCATCGCTATGTAAATATTGGCCGGGGCATACCTTGCTCCTCTTTCCTGTAGCTCTCAGCTCCTGGGCAAATATTTGCCCTGCGATGCGCTCGCCTAAACCCTGCAATATTCCGCGCGACCCCACGGCAGCTCTGTTGGGTAATGTTTTTTTTTTGCCGGACTGCTAAATCGACAGGAAATTGCATTTGGCTCGCCAAATTTATCTCGCTATTACTTGGCAGCGCACCGCCACCCGTTTACATGAGTCAAACAAGGCCATGAAGCGCTGGGGAATGGAGTCAACAGCGTTAATGTGTTGGTCTACACACTTTCATTTAACCCGGCGACCCGTTCCAGCCCTCCTGGATCGCAATCGCCGTGTTACTTTATCTTGGCGCGACGTCCTCCTATCTTTCATTAAAATCCTGACCCTGACGTTGTGGAGCGGTGATGTGTGCGCAAGTGCGAATGTGTGTTTGTGTTGCGTGTGTGCGTGCGTGTCGAATTGAGGGGAGTGGTGTGTGCACTGGTTAGTGTACTGCACTACAAACTGAACGAAAATGGTTCAATTCCCTGTCCTAAGTTGACTCAGCCTTAAATGAGTACTTTGTGCGGTGTGAAAACATCAACACTTTGGAGAGACAAAGGTGGCCACCCCCTGATGCACCGTACCAGCTTTAATGGGTGCTCACTGACAGCACTTGCTGCAAGTCTGTGCAGGCTGTACAGGAAATGTTTGCTGTGTGTGTTTGTGGAATATTTGCGTAATGAGTTCAACTGAGTCGCAGACGCACTTCTTGGAGGCAACACATTTATTATACCAAGACTCGGGGTTAACAAGATGACAACCTATGGTGGTGGACCACCAGGCTCCCTGCGCTAATTACTCTGTAACTTAGCTACAACGGAACCGGGCCCCGGCCTGGGTCTGGGTCCACATGTTGGTGACTCTTGAGGACGTAGAACGTAGACTTCTTCAGGATACAACAGCAACGCCAAACCCCGGTCCCTCTGGGGACCCGGCTTAGATCCTCCCTGGTCGAGGCTGGCTCCGCCCTTGGCCACGACCACCTTCTCAAATCGTCTAGCAGGATCTCGCCCCGACACGTGACCACTCCGAGCCCCCCACTTGGGGCCCCTGTGTAGACTTTACCAGTCACGTGTCCTCCAGGGTCAACCAGAGTGCCACGGCCTATAGTAACCCCGTTCCCTGGCTGACACTCTCACACCCCATTCTGTAGGGGTCGGCACTGCACACAGAGCGTGGTGCCACTCAGCGCTATGACTCAGCGCTCACCGAGCCCCTCTAGGGCCGCTACTACACCCACATGTACGTGGTGTCCACGATGTCGCTACATGCGTGGTGTCCGCGGTGTGAGTATTTCGCACGCCGAGCCCCTCTAGGGCCGCTACGACACAGTGACGTCCACGAGGTCACTACATCTGCGCGTATGTAAGAAATGTATGGTCGGTAGTGGTGGCGTAGTGGTTAGCGCTCTGCACTGTGATCCAAGAACCTGGTTGGGATTTTCTTTGGCCCTACAGTGTATGTAAGGGCTCTATCTTGGTGGAAATATATTTATGTATGCATGCATGCGTGTGTACGTATGTTTGTACGTGCCTTGAGCTGGTGCAATGGGTAGCATCCGTCAGTCATCTCAGTCGGTTGACCCTTACCATCTGAACCTGTTGGCGAGCCTTCCAGATGTAACAAAGCACCCCAAGGCTGGCAAGGGCGCTGTGGTGACACCACCGTCTCTTTACACGGATGGCAGCTGCTGCTGCTGTTGGTGTTTTGTCGAGTGTTGCCGAGCGCCTGCAATAGAAGAGCTGCCTCTGTCCGCTCTGCGGCGTCCCAAGACAGAAATTAGCGGTGACACTAAACAGTGTCCTCTGGCCAATGAATAATCCCAGCAAAGCGCGGCAAACCCTCGACGTATATGGATCGCACGCGCGCGCCTTCCAGAGGAGTTGCCGCACACTTTTCCGAGTAACCTTTAAATCATTAGGCCCTGGGAGGCACCCGGGGTGCCTCCGTCAGTTATGCGCAGCTCCGTGGCCGATTCGATTGATTACCCGACATTTCCCTCCGTGCCATGCGTGCGTCTGGACCGACGTTAATCTCGTTAACTAAATTAGTGACGAAAATATTTGTCAACGGGGTGTTTTTTTTGCATTTTGTTTTAGGCAGCGCCGAGGCTGAGGGGACAGAAACCACCGGGCATTACTGTGGCTGTATCTGCACGGCGCAGACCGACTGTGATGAGACAAAATTATCGAGTCTAAATTATACGCAGGCCGAGATAATTGAGTAACTTTCTTATTGACAGCAATACACTGGGGAAGGCCTAACATGGTAATTGGCTGTGTATGTACAGAAAAAAGATTGATTCGGTTTACTAATTGGCTGTCATAAAGTGGCGGGGTGTGGGGGGAGCGATTGCACGCTCCTCACGACGCGTTTAATAACCGAGAACGTTTCACAGACACGTTCGACTGCTTTAGTTGACTAGACTCGGAGAATGCCGACAATGAAATCCGCAGCCTCGGGCTTGCCTGAAACTCCACCGGCAGGTCAGCGTCGACCAGACTCGGGCCTGCGGACGGAATACAGCGCAACGAGTGCGTTGTCACCGGGGTGGCGGATGCGGCCACTTAGGGCCAGGTTTGCCACCTGTCCCTGGTCTTCCCAGAGGATCGTCCTCTTGTAGAGGAGGTGGCTGCCCTGTGTCCGTGTAATAACGGAGCGCTCGTCCAGACGACTCGCGCACGATTCGCTCTCCCCACGCGCGCTCCGGTGACACCATCGTTCCCTTCTTCTCGTGACGCGTGCCGTTTGTTGTGCACCCCCTAGGTGGGGCCACCCTCGCCGGGGGGTGTGGCGGGGGGGCGGTGGAGTGTACAGGTGTGTGTGCTAGGTGTGGGCGCTGACGGGAAAAGCTCACACCATTTGTAATTCTTCCTTTTTGTTCTGCTTCTTTCTTAACTTGCTCACCCTGCTGGACGGGCCAGTCCCCGATGACCTGTTTGTACCTACAGAGGTCTTAGGTGAGAGCTATCCAGTAGAAAACGCTTACTTACATGCTTGCAGTTGGTTTTTAGTGGTTTTGTGTCTGTTCCCATTGCATCGCTCAATACCATTGAGAGAGAGAGATAACTCATTTTGAACGATGACGGTGTGTGCGCGTGTGTCACATTCATTTGCTCATGGTTGGTTTTGTGATTGATTGGAAATCTGTCATCGTCATCATCATAATCATCATCGCTGCTGTCTGGGGTTTTTCTTGAACGCCCTATAAATGCCGTTATTTGCAAGAGAAAGAGCAGTGACAGCATGGTCTGCGTCCTTCTAAAGCAGTAGAATAGGACTCGGTACGCGCTGGGCCCCGTAAAGGAATTGCTCGTGAATGCTCAGAACATCTCAAGCAACAGATCCGACTGCGATCTCCCACCCATGCTTTGGCCCTTTAGTTTGGGCTTGAAAACAACATAGCGTGTTTTTTTTATTTTGTCCTATGGATATACTGTCCACCGCCATAGCAATGTGGAATTCCCACCACTGTCTCAAGGCCATTAACAAACACGATTACCGGCCCATGCACATTTGGACAAGGAGATTCTTTGCTGATGTCACGTTTACAGGCACGCAAAGCCACGTGTCGGAATTGCAATATTTAGTCAATGTAGAGTGATGTGATAATAATGACTTGTTGCAAATACATTTGTGGTTGACTGCAGTTTATAAATTATATATATATTTTAATGTTATTTAAAGCAATTACTCAACTGCAAGTTATCAGTACTAGATGCCAAGTGTTAAGTGATGTTTTTGACCCATATCAGCAGTGGTGTTATCCATGATTTCAGTTAAAGCCGACGGTATCTCTCCCAGCATTTTTTGTAAATCAATGTGCGAGCGATAGGGTATTGTTTACATGTAATGTGCGATGGTGTTACGCGTGGCCATGAAGCCAAACGTTTGCAACCAACGTGGGCGCAGCGCTGTGACTATCTCACCGCAATGCGGCGTCTTTCTTGTTCTTCCTCCCTCGCTGGTCATAACCACTGGCAGTGACGATCAATGGTGAGTACCAGAATCAAAGTTACCCTGCGACCCGTCCGTTACACATCGTTTCCACCACCATCATCATCATCATCGTAGTTGCTTTGCAATAAGGCTTTGAAACATCTCCGCACCTCTCATCGACGAGCGCTGCCGCGCACCCACTGAGAACTTTAACCATGGCGCTAATTAGCTGCTCGTTAACCAGATGTGGACCCTTTGTGGGTGATTGTCAGTAGGTTTACATAAAATGTATAAAGGTGCAGCCCTGCAATGTATTACTCACGCCACTGCCGGCAGAAGGGTCTCCACAGAAGTGAGCTCTGGAGGGCCCCTCGAGAGGGCTTTTTGACCTCCTCCTCCACACTGGGTAGACATCCTCCAAGAGGCGGCAGTAGCCACGCTTTACCGCACCACGTGAACTGCTGATCCATAAACTTGTGGTGTACTGCTGGGTGGACAGAGGTGGGCGGATTTAAGAAACGTGCCTGTTATTTAAACTGCCGCGCCGGGAGATCAAACCTAACCGCCGACAAGCGTTAACACGCAGCGTGGTACTCGTTTTGTTGAGGCCATGTCACTGCCTCAAAATAAAAAAAACACCTGCAACTTATCGTCGATATTGTGACCTTTGCCTATAGGCAAACAGTTGGCCTGGCCGCGGTTTGAATTCCAACTGAAAGTCAATTCTCGGTGATCAATTTTGAAGGCGCGTCTGGAGCACGAAAATTTGCGTCGCATCGGGCGTGCAGACCCCCCCCCCTCTTCGTCCCCCCCACCGCCATTCAATCAGCCCTATTGGATGTGCCCAGCATGGAACACACGGGAAACATGGTCTCATTGGCAGAGGGAAGCCGTGGTATATTTTAACTGTGATTGTATTATTATTGTTGTTATGCAGCTACCACATGAAAAATTAGTAATTCATGTGGCCAGTTGATTCCTGGATGAGAGCACCAAGCCAGGACCACGGAGACCCTGGGCTTGAATCCAGGTCCCAGCTGTGATCAAGTGTGGGCAGTTGCTGGTCTCAGCCCAATGGCCAATGATTTACATATAGACCTTTTAGACTCGCATATAGACCCATAGATGTTCATAAACTCACTTAGATACCAATAACCTTAACACAGACACCCATTGACTCACAAAGAGACTGTTAGACTTGTGTATAAAACCATAGGTATATACAGACCTATAGACTTTTATATAAACACCCATAGCCTGAAAAAGAGTGGGGACGAACTGGCTTATTAAGTGAAGTGAGTTGATGACCTCAGCAAAGTCACCAATTACTAAACAATCCCACCATAAAGTATACATTTTGTTTTCTTTGGTTCTTTCGGTAAAGTCACGTAGAATGAGAATAAAATAATAAAATACCATCAAGATACATTTGAGGGAATGTGACCGACCGATGGTAACTGCAGTGATGCAGTGAGCGACAACTGTGGAGTGGTCCTCATGAGGGTGAAACCGGTTCACAGTTATCCATCACGCCGTCACTGCCGCTGTCAGTTGGTCACATTGGCTCCAATGAATTTTGATGGTGGCCGAAGACGAGAGTACCATAGCGCACTTCTTTGGAAAGTGCCGATGGGTTTTGCAGGCGCACAAGAGATTGTGCGCTTTTTACACGTGTTTGCCTGTAATTTGAAGCTCACGATGCACTGCTCGCAGCAACGTTCTGAATGGAGATTGCTTGATCGCATTGTGTGAGGCCGATGGCATAAGCGGAATAGAATTTGGGGAGAAAATGTATTTTATGTCCCATATTGTGGGGGTTTCTCTCTCCACACGATGAGGGTGATGATTGCGGCATTCACAGTGGAAGCTTTGACCATAGAGAGACGGCAGTGATGGGGGCAGCCGTCTCCAGGTTTAGACAGTGGGGCATCTGGACAGCGGTGAGTGCACCACGCCACGAGTTCAATAACCTGAGTTTGATTCCCGACCATGGCAGCTAACAATCAGTGGTAAGCGACATCTGAATGGCCTTGTTCCCCGCTCCCCAATCTTAGCCAACTCGCACTGACCAGAGCGATGAAATATGGTCAGCCGCATGGGGAGGGCTTCACAAAGATCAGTGAAATTATTTTACTTCTTATTTATGCCCCAACTGTTGCAAGGAGTGTATAATTGCTTAGCTGGAGAGTTTCCGGATCACTTTTGCCCAAGGCAGGTGCCCGTTACAATTTTCGTGCAAAGATGGATCACTCGCCGCGCCTCTCCCTTAGCCCCGGCTGTCGCCGTGAACTCTTGCCTGTGGTGCACCAGTGGGGCCAGGCACGGTACATGGCATGGGTCTCTGGACACCCCTACAATGTTTAAATACGATTAAAGAAACATCCACAACTTCGGACACAATTCTCGGTACCTCCAAGTCGACGTGCGACATAGACGCCGATTGTGTTGAGGATGGAGTGTGCGAGTACAGCCAGCGCACGAGCGGTGGGCTCCACACCGATTCGGTAGCCACTGTAGATTTGACGACCGCAGAGCAGTGGTGCTCCTCTTGTCTGTTACAGAGTGGGGGGGTGGGGGGTGCACGAACTTCGTAGGTCCCGTCCGTAATTCACCCGGTAACCACCGGCAACCATTCGCTCGTGGAGCACCTCAAATTAGCGCAGTGCGCTGGGTCCCCAGGGCACAGCTTTCACGAGCGACAGCTCCCGTCACGAACGATCTTGTAGGAAGAACGCACAGACGAGGCTTGTGAAAGAGAGTGTAAAGTTCGTTGGGGTGCAGCTGCGGTGAAGGGCTCTGGTATCGAGGCAAGAGAGGTTGTGTCACTACGAATGTTCAACCGTGAAATGTTCAATCTCCCCTTCCGAGCGCCCTGCGTCGGGGTACCACGCAACAAAAGTCGTCTTATCGAGTAATGTCAGCCGCAGCGGTGGCTAACGTCGGCGCAAGGAGAGAAGAAAGGGGACCGCGGTTTCGCGTGCAATTAATTTTGTATTGAGCCCCGAGCGCCGTCGAGCTGGGGACTGTAGTTTGGCGTTAAACTGAGAGAGACGCTTCGGTGCAGCGGGCTCAGTGCACACACACTCACACACACTCACACACACTCACTCACACACACTCAAACACACTCACACACACTCACACACACACTCACACACACTCACTCACACACACTCACACACACTCACACACACTCACACACACACTCACACACACTCACACACACACTCACACACACTCACACAACAACAACAACAACCGCCATTCGCCACTAAGTGGCGGTGACGTCACCACGACACTTGTGCCAGGCTATGTGCACCCTGAGGCCACGTGAAGTGTCGAACGCCCGCTGGCAGGAGGTCACGGGGCAGACCCAGGTGCCACGGGTCGACTGACTGAGATGACTGGCTGATGCACCACCTGTGCCCCCTACTGTGCCAACCTGCTGTGCTTTAGCCACCCGGCGCTCCGCTCGTTGTTCTGAGCGTCGCTCCTCCACCCTCCGTTGTTGTTGGAGGGCGACTGCCTCCAACTGCCGAGTAGCATCCTTCACGAGCCTCCTCCACAGAGGCCGATCTTGACACCGCTGGTACCAGTCATCGGCAAGTCCACTCAGCTCCACGTCCTCCTGTACCACATCACTCCATCTCTTCTCTAGCCCGTGCCGCGCCCGCTTAGCCCCCTCAATCCGGCCAAACAAAAGCTGTTTCGGCATGCGGTGGCTGGGCATGCGGGCTACATGACCCAGCCATCGCAGCCTTGCCTGCCGGAGGAGCTCATCGATGGGACCCTGCCCAGATCTTTCAAGGATTTGTGAGCTCCTCACACAATCCAGTCTGGTTAAACCCAGGATGGATCGTAGGCAGGCCAGCCTAAAT